TGAGGCTGAGTCTACTTGGGAACGGGAAGATGTCATTCGCTCGCAGTTTCCTGAAATTTTGGAAGAAGGTAAGAGCGAATTCCGAGGACGGAATTCCTTTTGTTAGGGGGGAAGAATGTAATACCCCTAATTTTTAAAAGGATAGTCTCGGTAATTTGTTTAATTGTTTTCTGTTCATTAATTATTTTTGGTTCATTAATTGTTTTGAATTATATTTTAATTGACTTTTTAATGATTTGATTTAGTTGACTTATTTGTGTTATTTGAGTTAATGAGTTAGTTTATTTGTTTTCTTTGGGTTAATTAATTATTTGAATTATTTACAGTAATTGTGATTATTTAAGTTAATTGTTTTAATTATTTATTTGGCTTTAATTCTCTGTAAATTGTATGTTATTTTCTGTTTTACGGTTAACTTGGAATTTTTATTTGTTTCTTTAATTAAATTAGTAGTTAACTTGGAATTTTTATTGTTGACTTAGTAATTACATGTTTTAATTTGTGCCTAGGTATAAAAGTGTGGTTAGGGTTTCCGTTCTGTCTAGGTTTAATTTAATGAGCCGACAGGGTTTAAAAACAAATTGGTTGTGTTTATGGGCCGCGTTTCAGACTTTAGGTATAATTGGACTTAGGGTTTTGGTTGCCTATAAATATATACGATAAGTCTGCTTAGGGAACAAAATAATACAACCAAAACACGTCTGTGGAATTAGAAACGAGGAACAGAGGAAGTTGCAGTAGGAGTCGCCGGAGATTGTAGAAGACAACGTAGAGATTTTAACAAAATTCTCAAAAGGCAAGTTCTAACCTTACTCTCTCCCTTATACTCGTGTTCTTTGCATACTCAATGGTTCCAGGATGAATTACATGTTTAAAAATAAAAGACGTTGTCTGTGTCATGCCTAGAGTGTAACTGAAACTGATTTTGGTTTAAAACTTGTAAACTGTTAAACTTTGAACTGTCTTATTTAATTCTTGGTTTAATCCATATTAGTAGCATAATAAGGACTGAGTTAAGGACTGGAATCTTCTAGGATTAATTGAAACTCTTTGAAACCCTCTACTGTGAAGTGTCAACGGCGACCGGAGAGGAGAACACGAAGAAGAAGAGGGAGAGAGCCGGCTCCTATTGGATTGGAGCCGGCTCCCCTTGGACTGGAGGCGGCTCCAATGGTCTAGGAGCCGGCTCCAGGGCCATTGGAGGCGGCTCCAATATTTTGGAGCCGGCTCCAGGTTGTTTATGCGTGAGTTTTGATTCTGTGGGTTGTTTTTCCAAATTTTTTCAGTGATTAGGCTTCCTAGTGATTGTTTTAATGTGTTTATCGGTGAATGAATACTGTAATGGGTGATTTAGGAGTGGTCTAGGGTAAACATAAATATGCAAAGACCAGATTAACATAAAATTTGACACAAAGCGTTAATCATTAGGATTACATGGAGTTAATTACGAAGGTCTTGTAGACTGTGTAGATTTGGAGTTTCTAATTTCTTAATTCTATTAGAAATTTTCTGTGAGAGCTTGTCCACTCGAATTATATGTTCATGGAAATAGAAACTATGCTAAAAATTTATATTTCACTGAAAATTGGTTGGTGATTAAATTTTAACGGTTAGTGCGGCAAGTTGTTGGACAGGAAACTATAGGTATAATAGATTACTAATATTTAGTCTGCATGCTATAGATGTGTGTGGAAAATATCTATTTAGGCTCTGGTAATTCTATGGAAACTGGGAATAGGTCATCATTCTAAATAAAGCCCTGTATGACCAAATTATGGATTCTGAATTGGCTTACTTAAGCATGTTTGTTCATCTGATCTAACATGTTTAGTTTGGACTGTTGGTATTGACATTTATATGGTCATTATTTTGTCAACTGTGCATGTAAATAAGCATGTTGATTATCTATTTCAATATGCATAGTAAGGAGTAGTTGACATTGATATTTATATTTTCAATGTAAATCAATTATTGGTATTTTTAAGAATGGTTGCTAATGCATTCTATTATGTTTAGTATGGAATTGTTGATATTGTTGTTATAATTATCGATGCCTTATCAACTATTGGACGGATTGGATTGTATGTACCGGTATGGGACGGTGACATACTGGGTTTGGATTAGCTCAAATTGCTAAGTCCTACCTATTTTGGAGTAAGGGCACGGGTTATAAAATACAATCCTCCTTATATATATAAGTCGGTACGGTTGGATACGCCGAGTGACTTACTGGATTTCTTGTGGATGGATAGAAACGGAGTTTAGATATATTTTTATGTTACCGTGTCATGAGCTTGAGTCTCAGTGTCGACGGTTAGGGTGCGTATATGCAGTTGGATGTGTAGCTGACTGTGAAGGTTGAGGTATACCCTGTTTAGGTTTAGGTACTCATACCCACTCAGGTGCGTATTGTGTGATGCCTTCTATCCAGGTTGAGACCCACTTCATGGCCTAGCGAGAGTCCAGTAGTGTGGATATATTTATGTACGGATTATTAGTTATTGTTGAACTATTTAGTATGTACATGCGTATCGAGTCTCTGCTTGGATTGTAGTAGGTTAGAACTTGTTCGTGGGCCTGACCCACTCCTATTTTTCAGGTGTACGTCAGTTCCAGGCTTGAGCTTGTTCGTGTTGAGCAGAGACGATCTTCCATTCTACCGAGGATGTAGGGTTTCTTTCCGGATCTTGGATTTGGGTTTTATCTTTTATTTTACTTTCATTTAGTGTGAGACTTTTATTAGGGGTCCACTAGAGATGGATTCCCGAGTTGTTCAAATTATGGATATTTGGTTTATCAAATTTAAGTATTTAATTATTTAAGGATTATCTTTTAGTTTCTTTTCAGCTTTAAACTTTCATTTCTTAATTCATTTTGTATTCTGTGTTCGCTATAAAATATTAATTGTTTGATACTCCCTCGGGTTTGGGCCTGGGCCTGATCAACCCGTGTCTCGGATCCGAGGGGTATCACATGAACTCACTGCTCGTACATCGTTGGAACAGTCTCTGATTTTCGGCGTTGTGAAGTTGTGGTCGCCGGCGTTAATTCTCTATCTCCCTATATATATATATATATATATATATATATATATATATATATATATCTCTATATATAACCAAAGAAAGAGGAAAGCAAAATTAGGCATGTTTGGCTACAAGTGTAGCACTGTCCTAGGGGGTTCCGGCTTATATTCTGACTGATTTCTCTAAGTCGGAGGCACGGATTTGGTGACGGAAGTTCAATCGCCGAAGAGAGATGGTCTCAGATTGAGAACGTGGTGATCGGTGAGGATAGAGTAAAGAAGGAATTTTTTTTTTTCAGAGACGGGACACCCTCCATGTCAGACCATGGTGATAAGGTTGGTTTTTGTTGCTGATAATTTAACTAAAACGACGTAATTTTTATAAGGAGTAAAATTGTCTTTTACTATTTCCGTTTTCACCAATTGGCCGGAGATGTCACATTGGAGGTTAATTGCACCAAATTCAATAGTTCAAGGGGGCAAATTGTAGTTCAAGGGGGTTAATTGCACATGGCCAATAGTTGAAGGGGGGGTTTTTTGCACTTTACCCTTGTTTTTATAAGGCTTGGTGTGGATATATATACATATGGGTGGACTTCTGGTTGTATTTAGTTGTACTCTATTGGGGGCAATGTAAACCAACCATTTAAATTTTTTTTTTTTAAATTACTTTTTACAAGGGGTCAGACCCGTCGTAGAAAACACTCTTTCTACAATGGGTTCAACTCGTCATAGAAAGCCTTTTTCTACAACGGGTTCAACCAATCGTAGACAATCTACTTTCTACACCCTAAGTCAACAACAGTAGAAATCGTTTTCGCCCCTTATTTAAAGTCATTTTTGATTGGGGGAGGGAGAACTTAAAAAACAAAGGTAATTATAGTGCATCAGATTTCCATCATTGGAGAGTTGGGTGAACTATTATTATGTAATTAAAAAATGTATTTATTAATCAATCGTAATATAATTTCTTTTTTTTTTTTACAATATTATTTTATTAGTGACTATATTGAGCAAAATACAATCCAAAAAACGAGAAAAAGAACCTTAAAAATAAAATATATAGAGGATGAAATAATAAGTTACGCAAGAAGTTGTAAAGAAAAAAATCTTGTTCAAGATTAAATTTTATTCAATTATTGTTTTAATTTTTGAAATTTTGATTATTTTATCTTTCTAATGTCAATAATTCTCTCTCAATCGGTGGTAAAAAATTAACAAAACTCTCCTCATACATAGCTGATTCAATGATAAAGTCGTCGCCAACCAAAATATCCTTGAATGTCTTCTCTTAAAAATTGTACTTGACAATCCTTCGATTTGACACTTGCATGATAAGTTCACCACTCTTTGTGATGTACAAAGGCATAAGTGGACTCCTTCACGCCATACTCTTTCATCGTCCATATACTCCAACTCCAAAATTCCAACTGCTGGAATAATGTCTTTTTGAGTGACAAAGGGATATCACAATGGGTCATACCCGTCGTAGAAATCGTTTTTGCCCCTTGTTGTTAAAAGTCATTTTTCTTGTAAAGGGAAACTTAAAAACAAAGGTAATTATCGTGCATCAGATTCCCATCGTTGCAGAGTTGGGTGAACTATTATTATGTAATTAAAACTTGTATTTATTAATCAACCGTGATATAATTTTTTTTTTTTTTTTTACAATATTATTCTTATTAGTGACTATATTGAGCAAAATACAATCCAAAAAATGAGAAAAAGAACCTAAAAATAAAATATATAGAGGATGAAATAATAAGTTAAGCAAGAAGTTGTAAAGAAAAAAATCTTGTTCAAGATTAAATTTTATTCAATAATTGTTTTAATTTTTGAAAATAAAGAATTTGATTACTTTTATCTTTCTACTGTCAATATTTCTCTCTCAATCGGTGGTACAAAACTCTCCTCATACATAGCTGATTCAATTATACTGTCGTCGCCAACCAAAAGATCCTTCAATGTCTTCTCTTCAAAATTGTACTTGACAATCCTTCGATTCGACACATGCATGATAAGTTCCCCACTCTTTGTGATGTACAAAGGCATAATTGTTAAAGAAGACGGAATGGTTATTAACTTGGTCCAAGACTCCTTCACGCCATACTCTTTCATCGTCCATATGCTCCAACTCCAACTGCTGGAATGTATAGTGACAAACGCAAAGAAACCCATTTAAGACACTCACACTTATCATTGGAGTCTGATCAGTATCTCCACAATCGCAATCGGGTACTGGCATTTCTCCAAATTTCTTCTTCTTTAAATCAAAAGAAGTAATCATGAACAATTTTGAACCATGACCAAGCGGCAGTCGTAACCAATGCAAAGATCCATTAACAAATTCCCCCTTCACTTGCAAAAATCTTCCGGTGTAAGGAAACTCTAGAGTCCTTTCCCAAGAATTGGTTCTTCGTGAATAGAGTTTAACTCTATATACAGTAGTTTTAGTACTTTTCGAATAGCTGCAATGACCTTTCACTGCCAAGTAGTCATCGTTGGAAGAATCATAACCAATCCCAAAGATGCCAAAGTTACCTAGGCAAAAACCACTTGGTGGCAGCCTTTTGCACTGTCTAGTGGTAGGGTTGAATAAGTATAAGCGAGTGAATCTGCACAATAACAAGCCATTACAAGAGCCCAACACCATCACTAAGTCAGACCAACTTGGGATCTGTGGAAGATGGAGATTAACAATACTATTATTTAAATCTTCAAAATCCATAGATCTAACTGAGTATGATGGTCCATTGTGAGTAGATAGAATCAGACGACAATGGCCGTGCTTTTTGGTAAAGCCAGGCTCCGCGAATAGAGCAAGCCATGACTTGCAGACGCATCTGAATCGGATGAGGGACTTGGCGGGAACTCGCAAAAGTATTTCGAGGGTGATCTCTTCCGGAAGGTTTGGCAATCGGTTCCTTCAGCTCTTCTCTATTGCCATATATGGTTTTTGGTTTTCTGATAGTTTTTTGGTTCTCAGTGCCGGCGTTTATACCAGACGAGTTCTTGATGGATCATATTACCACCAGGAACCCATTTTCTATTGTTGTGATGGACGCAGACTCTTCATCACAACCATCCGTTGTTATTATACGGACGTTGCAGAAGGCGAACGTTATATTCAGACAGCTATGGAGTTTCTAAAAGATATTGTACGTCTTACTCCATTAGACATCCCCTCTCGAGTTAAAGATGGCGTTGAACGCCTTAACCTTGAATGGGACATTGCTGATGCTCAGTCACCAGACAGTCCTCCCTCACTTGATGAATATGAACTCCATAATCTCATCAATGCCATGGAAGGATAACAGGCACTCTTCTCTGCTCGACTGCAACCTTACCCAGCACACGACAGAAGAATGTCTTGTCTACTTTGCTAAAAGAAAAAGTAGCCGAAAGATGCCGACATACTATTCATCAACAGTGAAAGTTGCCGACACACTTTAGCAAACAGTAAAAAGAAAGATTCTCTCTTATCTTCTTTTGAACTGTTTATCTTTTGTAATGCCTATTTAACCCGAAACCTTAGAATGGTTTTGGCATCGGTTTTTCAATATCTCTTTTCCTCTCTTGTTTTGAGGATTCTTCATGTAAAGTTTCTGTTTGTAAAAAATTTTCCGCAACCTTGTAATTGGTATCAGAGCCTACCTCGAATCTGGACCACTGTAAGTTTCTGTAATAAAGTTTTCAGTTTACGTTTGTGCTTATGATATCTCTTTGATGTTTGTTTACTGTTAAAAGCCCAGATTATCCTGTCTTTGCTTATATGTCAATGTCTGTATGACTTTTGTGACCTTGTTAAGCTGCTTACAGGACCCTTTGGTTTTAGGCACCAGGACAGTTTATCCAAACATCTAAGATACTATCACTATGGCACACACTACATCTGTTAACTGTATCAGAAACCTTGCAGGTCAAGATACTACTACCGAAAACTATCGTCATATAGCCCACTTTAACACTACTGAACCTGTATCGTTCCCCCACGTCGGAGCAGGACTCAACTTTCTTGTCGACATGGTTACAGACTGGAAAATCGACTTCCAGCATAATTTAGAGGCAACCAATACACATATGGCTTCCTCTTTTGATGATGTCCAACAAGGCTTACTCTCCTTGAATGACAAACTTGAAACTCTTACTCAGATTTTCACCCTTTCTAATACTCCTGAGACAGCCCTTCAGGACCAACTAAATCAAATGAAGATCGATTTAGCCAAACTTCAAAAGGTTAAAATATCTGATTTATATCCACCAGATCCACCCGATCCTCCATCTAAGGATTCGGATCCTTCTGAAGATACTCTTCCAACATCTACAGACCAACCCTCTGTTAAAAAACCAATCCGTTACAAAGTCAAACCTTTGTTTTACGGCCATGAAGACACTGTTGAAAACATTAAAGTTTTCTCAGCACCCTCCTCGTCTTCCTATCGCCGAGATGACTATGATAGCATCATAGATCAGCTCAGTTGCTTACAAGCTTTATACGTCGATCCACAACTCACGTTCGACGAAAGCGCCCATATTATCACTCGTATACGACAGATCTCTCTACAAAACGAGAATCTTCTTACTCATTTTGGTTACCCCATAAATGAGAGTTCAAGTTCCTCTGACGAAGAAAATACTTCTGACGATGAACAAGTCTATGCTCTTTCAGAACATTCTGATTCTACCGAAGAATTAGATGAAACTATTGAAGCTGACCCTCTTCCAGTTTCTTCCTCTTCTTCTGATACACCTATCGAAGAAGCCCCAAAACCTTCTAAAGGAAAAGCCAAAAAACGTCGTTCTGACTCAGTTCTTGACGAATCCTTTTACGGCGACTTTCTTACAGAAGACTTTCTGCCTGCAGAAGAAGTTTCTGGTTCCGGTCAAAAAACCGACGAAGAAAAATCTAAAAAAGCCGCTGAACCCAAAATCTATACGTCCTCGTATAAATACGACTTTTCTACAGTCCCTTCTACAGTCCCCACCTGGACTCGAAAGGATGACCTCAATAAGTTCCCCATTTCACAAAATGGCACTTATCTTGATCTCACACATGTTCCATATAAGGACCATTTAAAAACTATAGACGAATGGGCTCAGTCATTAGCTATTCTCGTCAATAACTACAAAGGAACCTGGGAACGCCCTCGCTTCCTTGATTACCTTTCAGCAACCCTCCAAGGTGATGCACTTGACTGGTTACGACAATGGGATCAAACTCCTCAAGGTAAACAGCAAAAAGATGCCCTGTTAAATAACTTCGATAAAATCGATGGTGTTTTACGAGGTTTTGTCAAAATCCTGAAAGAAGAATTGGTCGGACATACCGGTGAGCATTTGCAGTCCTTTTTGGTTTCAAGGGCTTTGGAGGATTTTTTAGATCCTTTCCGTTTGCCGTTCACAGGCTTCTGAGAAGGGGTTTTCGTAACGTATTTTTTGGACGCTTTTGGACGTCGGCCTTTCCACTTTTTCCAATGGAAATTTTTGCGTTTGGAACGTTTGGAAGGGGTGGCTCGGTATGGAGCACAACCAATTTTCCAGGTTTCCAAGGTCACAAAAGTCATACAGACATTGACATATAAGCAAAGACAGGATAATCTGGGCTTTTAACAGTAAACAAACATCAAAGAGATATCATAAGCACAAACGTAAACTGAAAACTTTATTACAGAAACTTACAGTGGTCCAGATTCGAGGTAGGCTCTGATACCAATTACAAGGTTGCGGAAAATTTTTTACAAACAGAAACTTTACATGAAGAATCCTCAAAACAAGAGAGGAAAAGAGATATTGAAAAACCGATGCCAAAACCATTCTAAGGTTTCGGGTTAAATAGGCATTACAAAAGATAAACAGTTCAAAAGAAGATAAGAGAGAATCTTTCTTTTTACTGTTTGCTAAAGTGTGTCGGCAACTTTCACTGTTGATGAATAGTATGTCGGCATCTTTCGGCTACTTTTTCTTTTAGCAAAGTAGACAAGACATTCTTCTGTCGTGTGCTGGGTAAGGTTGCAGTCGAGCAGAGAAGAGTGCCTGTTATCCTTCCATGGCATTGATGAGATTATGGAGTTCATATTCATCAAGTGAGGGAGGACTGTCTGGTGACTGAGCATCAGCAATGTCCCATTCAAGGTTAAGGCGTTCAGCGCCATCTTTAACTCGAGAGGGGATGTCTAATGGAGTAAGACGTACAATATCTTTTAGAAACTCCATAGCTGTCTGAATATAACGTTCGCCTTCTGCAACGTCCGTATAATAACAACGGATGGTTGTGATGAAGAGTCTGCGTCCATCACAACAATAGAAAATGGGTTCCTGGTGGTAATATGATCCATCAAGAACTCGTCTGGCAGTATCTTGTAGATGTAAGAAACTGTGAATTTCAAAATAATAAGGATCGAGACTGGCAGCAAGGTCCTCAGAATTGATCAGTTTAGGATGCTCATAATCATCGTCATCGGTGCCGGTGAATTTGAGAAACCAGATCTGATAGGGTTGGAAGAAACGAGTTTTTTCGAAACTTCCGATTGAACTGGAAATCCAGAAAGTCAGGTGACGACTGTAAAGCCAGTGTTGACTGATTTTATAAATCATAGATCTTATCATGGCTGGAAAATTCTGATAAGAATCATGAGAGGAAAAAGTAAGTTTATTAACTATTCCCCAATCAACCGGATCCATAGACCATTCAAGACCGGGGATGATAAAGAAGTCCAGTTTAAGAACCTTTTTTCCATTATAAAGAGTATCAAAGGTATTGATATCTTCATGATAAGTGGTATAATATGTTTTTATTATAGCATAATGATTTTCAATCTGTCGGTAAATAGATCGAAAAACATCTGAAGGCAAGATTTCTCTGGCCTTTTCGAGAAGACAAATACGATTGATTTTGGCAAAAGTATTTGCAGGAAACTCTTGTTCTCCTATTAACTGGGCAAGTTTAAGAAAACAATTTATTTGATTGAGAGAAAAATCTTTTTCCCAGTCGATAGAAAGACAGCTTTGTATGCAGAGCTGTTTAAGCTCAGTCGTCATAGCTGTTTGTTCAGCCATAAGAGCAGCAAGAGAACTCAGATGTTGTCTGAATTTTTTATTAGCACCAAGTTTATGTGCTTTCCAAACAGTATTGAGTTCGTTGTACAAATTGTTTGGAAGACCAGGATCATAGAAATTGTTAATTTCTAAAATGTCTGGGTTTTTTGAAAACATTTTGTTTGAGGCTTGGCCCACATTATAGAAAACTGTTTGGGCTTCTATAAGTGTGTCGTAAGCTTTAAAGCAAGAACCATTGAAGGAACGGAGCTGTTTGTGACAGTCGTTCCAGTTCTCATAGATCCCAGGCTGATGACCTGCAAAAACCACGAACCATTTTTGTGGCTGTGATGGAGATGGCTTGGAGGTTGCCTTTTTAGCAACAGTGATCCAACCTTCTTTATCAGGTGTAGGCTTAGGATACTCATCCATCTGTTAGAAGGAGAGAAGAAATATCTTTGTTAGATACTTCCGTAGGTCTGCTTAAGAAATCTGCAAGAAAATTATTAGTTCCTTTGATATGTTCAATAGCAAAAGAATATTGGGCAATAACATTATACCATTTTAAGCGGCGACCATCTAAGCAATTTCTTTTGTTGATTAGAAAATCTTTAACAGCTTGGTTGTCTGTTCTAATAATAAAATCTTCTGGAGCAAGATATATATGGAATCTTTTAATTGCTAACTTTATAG